AGCAGTATTGTATTGCAACTACCATTGCGTGTGATCATCTGCAATGACAACTGACAGGGAGGAAGAGCAGGTATTTAAAGGCATTTAGCATGTGGCAGCGATTGGCTGCTGAGGCGTGACGCCCTCATATTTAATGAGGGGGGAAGGGAGCCATAGAGTGACGTGTGAGTGACTCGAGTTAGGTCTTCCTTATTGAACTTGCGCTAAAGCTTTCATTACAACACCATTGATACCTGTACAGAGACAATTGACACAGAAGCAGCATGCAGTCTGTCTGAGGATGTCATTCTGCCCTGGGAAGCGCAAGGAGATGGTAAGAAACAACTTGTTTTTGTTTGCCCTAGATATTCCATAAATGCAGTTGTAGTACTAGAATACAATCACCAATGTAACACAGAGCTGTCAACATAGGTGTCACAAATCATCATGATCACAACAAAGCATTTTGAAATAATTATATTGAAAGGTCTGTATGATGTTGCCCTATCAAGTCTTAATAGTCATGCTATAGTCTCACTGGGACAGGCACATCTATGGAAACAGTAAAACCCTTCCTGACCACCCTGAACTGCATACTAATGTTGAATCTCAAGACATACTGAATGTAATTCTGCCAACATAGACAGAATTGAAAAAATTCAGCAAGCGGCGAGATTGGACATTTTTTACCAGATTTCAAGGTTTTGGGCAATTTAAGTTAAAAAGATTGAATGCAAACAGATATTATTTGTTTTTATTAGCCTTACCATTGTGTTTGTGTTGTCATATTTTGTTTTTTTTCCATTATAGTGGTGAACCTGCGCACAAAGAGGCGACTTTTTGACCAGGTTATGCTGGTCAGGCGTATGGAAGAGAAGAAAGTCATCATTGTGAAGGAGATGACCCAGCATTGTCAAAATCTGAGGCAGGCACTGGACAAACTGGACCACCTCCTTCATCAGACAAAAGACGACATCAGGAACCAAAGTATGTTCCACAAATACCGATTTATAACATTTGCCACTGCCCCTTCTGGTCAGTGTCAAACGTCTGTCACTGAATAGCATCTGTAATGATTGCATTTTTTCTGAATCACAAATCTTTTTAGCTAATATACAGCCTCGGAGTTAAACATTAAAATTGCTTATATGGAACCAACATCAATGCTAATTAAAAGTTGCCTTACATAGACTGTCATTTTGTCTTTTTATTTTAGTTTCTCCAAGCGATATAACAGAAGAGGGATACAGGGGACTGCACTGCTGTCTTTTACACCATCAATATCTTCTGGAGCAGAAACTGAGCAGAGTCACCAGCACCTACAGCTGTATTGGCACGGACTCGTCTTTTCTCATGATGGAGGAAGACATTGAAGACGGTGATGAGGACAACGAACAGGACGGTGATGAGGACAACGAACAGGACGGTGATGAGGACAACGAACACGACGGTGATGAGGACAACAAACAGGAAGGTGATGAGGACAACGAACAGGACGGTGATGAGGATAACAAACACGACGGTGATGAGGATAACAAACAGGAAGGTGATGAGGACAACAAACAGGACGGTGATGAGGACAACGAACACGACGGTGATGAGGACAACAAACAGGACAACGAACAGGACTTAACAAGTCTATTGTATTGTGTTGTATGCATGTGAACGTATTAAAACGAGTATTACGATTTAATGGCTTGTTTATTACCTTTTTTTTGTATTATCCTGCTTTGCATTTACTATGTCTGGTATTCAACTAAATGCCATTAGCAGTTATCAGTCACCTTCGGATCCGAGTTACCTCGAGGGCCGGAGGTTCCCCACCCCTGGTATAAGGTTTTGGTGATTACCCTTATTATCATGATCTGTTTAATTAACCAATGCTTACATCCAAAGAATGTGTCTAGACTTTACTCCTACAGACACACACTAACAATACAAATGGACCTAAGTAATACACTCACCAGCCACTTAATTAGGTACACCTTGCTAGGATGGGTTGGACCCCCATCTGCTTTCAGAACTGCATTAAGTCTTCATTGCATAGATTACACAAGGTAGGCTACTGGAAACATTCCTCAGAGATTTTGCTCAATATTGACCTGATCGCATCACGCAGTTGCTGCAGATTTGTCAGCTGCACATCCATGACGCAAATCTCTGGTTCCACCATATCCCAATGGTGCTCTGTAGGATTTGGATCTGGTGACTGTGGAGGCCATTTGAGTAAAAGTCATTGTCATGTTCAAAACCAGTTGGAGAATATTTGAGCTTTGTGACACGGTGAGTTATCCTGCTGGAAGTAGCCATCAGAAGATTGGTACACTGTTGTCATAAAGGCATGGACATGGTCAGCACAACCCGGTATCAAGGCAAGACGTGAACATGTGACGATTTACCATGCTGGGAGACGTGAAGATGTCACGATGTTGTCCCTTCAAACGTGACAATTACACAGTATTGTTAACATGGCCCAACCAGTGGAGATATACCCGGAAATGCCAAGCAAATGCTACCCCGACGGTCGGTTGTTATTATTATCAATATTAATAAAATAATGATTTAATTTGTAATAGTCACACTCGATTTCGCCGATTTTCTTGATTTGCTGGTCGACACCTCTTTTAGCAGAAACAAAGGCTACATTAATTTATTAAATCGATGTTAATCTGTGGATGTGGAATTAACGGACGTGACGTTGTGCGTTTGTGTTACCAGGCAACAGCTTCGGTTCATGTTAATTTACAAACTCTTCAACTCGAACAGTAGTCATATTTAAAAACATTTTATATGGCCTCACGAAATACTTTAATGTAAATTTAAATGTGAAGGAATGTGTGTGTATAACAAAATACATCTGTCAAAAACAATACCGGAAACAGACCTCAGCTCGGTGATTCGATGGTTTAGCCGCAATGCACGTTGGGAAATGGTGTTTATGCGATGTGAAATCCGAAAACATTAAAATAATACTTTATTCTGAGTGTGCTTGCTTTTCTCTTTGAAAGTCATCACATAACGGCATTGTAATACACGGTTCGGCTGCATTAAATATTACATATCTGCCGTAGTTCTTTATTTATAGAGCCCTGCTGAGAAGACTTCTAGACAAACAGGAGAAATGCCGCCAAAACTGAAAACGTGAAGTGGATCATACATATATCAGCAATTAAACAACATCTTACGATTTCTTTTCACACAATACGTCTCCTTGCAGTATCAACACTAATTCGGCTGACTTTTATATTTGATCCAATTGGTAGATAGGCTGTATTTACACCATAACGGTGCACAGCTGATAGAAAGGGACACCTAGTGGTTAAAGCACGTTATTGAATTTTATTATTATTATTATTAAACAGAATAAGAGACCTGACAGGTGATGGTCAGACGTTGACCTGGCTGCACAGTCACAGAGGCTGGCTGTGTCAACTGTTCACACTTCACACCTGTACAAATAAAAAAAATGTTATATGACAGATTATCCTGTTAAACAGCAGTATAATAAGTGTTGACTCACTTCCAGCTGCCAGCAGCAGCAGCAACAGCAGCAGCAGCAGCAGCAGAGAACATGATGATGATGATGACTCTGAGAAGACGTGAGCTCCTGATCCCCTTTAATTTCCACTGACAGTCTCATGTGAAGGCCTTATAACTGTATCACAATGGATATTACTGAGTTTGCATAGAACCAAACACATTGCATATTAATATGAGTCGGACTGGAGATAGAAAATGGAGCTTGTTATTGTTACTTTTACAAGAATACAATCACCTGTGTTTAAAGAGTCGAGAATCAACTTTGTGTACTTTATTTTTGCAAAAACAGATAATTAACATCTGGAGCTCTTTTAATGTCCTTTTTGATTATTGTTACACCAGGTCTTGTCAAAACCTTTATTCCATATTCAATATCCATTACTTAACAAAACAGCACACCTGAAATGTATATTTAAATACTTTATTAAGGGCAGTGAATTAATTGTTTCTGTATGTTTTTCAAATCAGTGTTATAAGTGTCATAGACACATAATTACATTGCTATTATTATCCTTAAAATATATGTAAAACAAAACCACTTATGATCTTTTTATTTGAGTGGTTTACTAATGACAGTTAATTCAGTTTTTGCTATTGATGGTTTCATTTTTGTGAAAAATAATACAATTCAATAACGTGCTTTAACCACTAGGTGTCCCTTTCTATCAGAAAAATAAATCTAAGATCAGTAATGTGTTGCTTAAAATAATACTTCTGCATGCACCCCCTGGCCAACTTGTGGCCCCACGCAAAGTTATATGATGAGGCCCTGTGTGTAGCGAACGTCGACTCTGCACACTGAGCTCTGATTGGTCACCAGGCGGTGCTTTCACTGAGTTGATCTATTATCCTGGAACCTTTCATATGGTGTGTGTGTGTGAGAGCGTTTCATATGTATATATTGTTGGCGAAATATTTTCAAGGCCAATAACTTTGAGACAGTTGATCAGTTTTGTCCTGACTGAGCCCAGGCACCTGTATCCTTGGCTGCTGTGCTCTCAGTGTTTTGTCTCCCTGTTCCTGCCTGTTGGCGTCAGCTGATAGAGGTGTTGGTTTTATCTCGTTATGCACAATGTTGATTCTTCTCTCAGAACTAGCTACATATGGGTCTGGGGTAGAGATCTTCAGAATTGGTTTGGAATCTTTTGTGTCAATTCGTGTCACACAACATGTCTTGTGAATAAACCATCAGTGTTTGCCATCAAAGTTCCTGCTCTCCTCGTGTCTCTCTGAGTCCAGTTTCCATTGCTTCAGAAGTTTCCATCGCATATGAGAGATTTGTACATGTTTGTAAATGATTTTGGTTTCAGTGTGTTTCACATGTGAACAGTATTTCTGAATAATGTCCCTAACGGCCCCCCATAGACATAATCCAAAAATAAATGTGAATATTTTTTTGTATTATCGCCAAGAATTGAAGTTGAAATGCAGCTTGAATATATAGGATATAAAAATGACAAGTACAGTAAGAAAGAAAGTGATATGAGTGACATGTTTTATTATTTGATTACCCTTCATTTTCTCTGTTGATAAGATGTTATGGAATGAAATACAATGTCAGATTAGGGGAAAGTTAGGGGAGTGCATGTTAATGCGTCTGGAGGTGGCGTGTTCCAAAAGTGTTTGGGTTTGTCTGCCGTGAGTGGGCTGCATTCCAATTCAAATTGCCGCCTGTACAATGTATGCACCAGTCTGTGATATGCCGATGTGCAGGCCCGCTCCTCCCTACACGCCGATCACACAGACTGCGTCTGCCTCTCGCCCTCATCTTGTGGAGGGAGCCTCATCTGATGCGCAAATGCGGCGCAATTGAGTGCGCCACAGTTTCTGCTGCGAGGCTCCACTAGCTGTAATCGGCTTGGTGTGTCCGGGGTTTACAAACCACCACCACCCCCAGTCGACGCTCGCGAGGGCCTCATCACATCACAGCCCTGCCGATGTGATATAATGTATAGGACCTTTTTCCTCATGGGTGTCATTCAACAGACCAAACATGACAGTTTTAGAGAATGAGTTTGTATGGATACACTTAAAACATATTTGTATTTGTCTTGGCTTCAGCTCACTGATAACATAAGAACACAAATAGGCACGGCACTTACATAGATGTTTTTTTAAATATGTATTTTATTACTCCAATGTAGAAAAACAAAAGTCAGGCATATTTAATTAGGAAAGTTTTCCTTTGGCTCCCAGGAATGTTTCCACTTCGCCCCACTGTAAAACAGAAACACAGCAAAAAGTATTACTTTTTTTCAACTGTTTGGTATATGTAGTTCTACAGTATGTTGACAATGCTATTTCAAATGAGAAGATACACTAAGTCACTTAAAAATATCGTGATGAAAGTGCAGTATAATATATATATTTATATATACAGGGTTCTTACACCTTTTCCAAAGTCAAATTCAAGCACTTTTCAAGCATTTTCAAGGTGCATTTTCCAGCTTTTCAAGCATCTTACAGCTGTTGTAAATTACATATTTATATACACATACTCAAATGATTATTTCCCTACCTCACATTAAATCAGATGTTCTTTATGCTATAAACAACCAAATGTGTGTTTCGTGATAGCCTTCTACACGAGGATGAACAATTAAAGAAAAGAAAAGTAAGTTTAATATTTCAAAATGAGTGATCTGTACGTAGACTGGGCATCCCATATAACCTGGCTGAGCCAATATAAAACAATCAGCCAAATAACTTTTCAATACATTATTGATTACTATTTTTGAGGTACTTTTAGGTTGGCAGTAAACATAAGTCAGAAGTACATGGTGTACTTTGACTCCACTACATGTATTTAATACCTTCAGTTACTTCACAGATGAATGATGTGAAATCTAATCAAGTGTTGAATCAGACTTTAGTTCCACCTGGAGTAAATCCACCAGCTACCGTATGCAGTATACAAAGTCATTCAGACTAGCTGCACCTTCACCAGCTTTGAGAACACTTTCATGATCAATCATTATAAAACATATCATATATATTATTCTGAAATTGACCAATCTGCACAACGACTACTTTTACTGTCGCTACTTTCACTATATTTTGATGAGAATACTTTTCGACTTTCACTTGAGGAACATTTTGAATGCAGGACTTTTACTGTAACAGAGTATTCCTACACTCTGGTACTTCTACTTTAAGTAGAAGTACAATACCTGAGTACTTACTTTTACTCAAGAACAAGATCTGAGTACTTCTACTTTTACTCAAGTACAAGACCTGAGTACTTCTGTACTTCTGCTTTTACTCAGAACAAGATCTGAGTACTTCTACTTTTACTCAAGCATAAGATCTGAGTACTTCTACTTTTACTCAAGTAAACAACTGCCTCCAAGACAGCACACAGCAATAATACTACTTACTAACTATACTAATAGTATAATTGTTAAGAACAAATGTAACAAGTAAGTAATTACAAAAGAGATCAAATACCATCCAGCATCACATATCAATCATTTAACCTTTAGTGATATTGATCAAGGATAAACTCAGTTGTATATTGTATTTTAATTTATATTCCAATGTAAGCTACTTCCCTGCTTATGTGTTACAACCAGACAGCGTTTCTAGGGCGCAATTTTCATTTCATTTCAAACCTTTATTTAACCAGATTGGTCCCATTGAGATCATAGATCTCTTTTTCAAGGGAGACCTGCGATGTCTGAATGACGAAGGGCAGAGAACTTGGATGTCTTACTTTATGGCACAATCGCTGTCTGATAGAGCCATTGATGACATGGCTCCCCACCCCCATGTGATCAACTAAATTGAATTTACTGCTGAGGAACCCAAAATGTTTAAGTTAGTGATCTCAGGGTTGATGAAGTTGGTTGGTAAGACTACTTTCTGGCCCCTGTTCTGCCAGCCCCACCAGCTACACTGAAGGAAACTTCAGATTAGATACATACCATCCAGAGCAAGACTGCCACTGCACCAACACCTCGGCATGGCCCTGAGTAAAGAAAGACAGATTTTAGGTAAACTTATTTTTTTTTCAAATGTCATATATGTAAATACGAAAAGTCCAGAGAAATCAAATGATCATTTGAAATAATAGTAGGTACGATTAACTCAAACATATGAAGGACTGTAACATAGTCAATAGCATTTTCCCCATCAGTTTAATATTTTGGAATACTATTATTATTTAAAAAGATATTTTCACTGCCAAGAATAGGAATTCACCTACAAATGATTACAAGAAAACATGTAATATACAAATAAATGGCTGGACATGATGCATTAATGCGACATGAAGCATTACACAAGTACCTCAACCTTAAATTAATAATAATTTATTGTTACTGTAATTTCAATATTTAGATTAGCAGTCATGCTTAAGACTGAAACACTCCTTTTAAACAAAGTATACGAAAATCCAATAAGATAAGATAAGACTTGGTTCCACGGAAGCATTATTGTCAGTTTATTTCTTATTTTAAAATATTTTCTAAACAAACCTCCCTGATTCTTTCCCTCAGTAGTTTTTTGTAGGGGAAAGTGGCTGACCCTTGATGAATGGGACATTCTGCAAGGAATTAAAAGATGGTAATAAGTTGAAGTTCAGCAATAACCTCCTAAACATTGCCTAACATCACATTGTGCTCAATTAAACTGTTCAAAATGGCACTGAGACTTTTGATACTGCAAAGTCTTAAACAAAACAAAAGGTGGCGTATTCTAATTGTACCGATGATTGTTTTCTCTCTCTTTAACTAATTCAATGTGCAAAATCAAACACAGTTTCAGTCTATGTAAATAAGATAATTACTAATTAACCCGCACATACCATTAATTGCCACTTTATTCCTCGTTGGTCTTCTTTTCTGTGAGGAAGACACTGAGGACACAGGAGGAGTCAGGCCGGAGGAGAGAGGAGAGGAGGAGTCAGGCCGGAGGAGAGAGGAGGAGTCAGGAGAGGAGGAGTCAGGCCGGGAGGAGAGAGGAGGAGTCAGGCCGGAGGAGAGAGGAGGAGTCAGGCCGGAGGAGAGAGGAGGAGACAGGGCCGGAGGAGAGAGTAGGGAGTCAGGCCGGAGGAGAGAGGAGGAGTCAGGCCGGAGGAGAGAGGAGGAGTCAGGCCGGAGGAGAGAGGAGGAGTCAGGCCGGAGGAGAGAGGAGGAGTCAGGCCGGAGGAGAGAGGAGGAGTCAGGCCGGAGGAGAGAGGAGGAGTCAGGCCGGAGGAGAGAGGAGGAGTCAGGCCGGAGGAGAGAGGAGAGTCAGGCCGGAGGAGAGAGGAGGAGTCAGGCCGGAGGAGAGAGGAGGAGTCAGGCCGGAGGAGAGAGGAGGAGTCAGGCCGGAGGAGAGAGGAGGAGTCAGGCCGGAGGAGAGAGGAGGAGTCAGGCCGGAGGAGAGAGCAGGAGTCAGGCCGGAGGAGAGAGGTACAGACAAGGAATCTGATCCTGGGTCTGTGGCCATTTCTGCCTGTGGTTCAACTGCCAAAGTCACTTTTGAGAAGAAAAAAAAGTAGAGGCATGGTGAATAAATGACCAAGTATAATCCATATACATTTATAATCTGAGTAATTACAGCTAAAAATGAAACTACAAATATTGATTGTTTTTTATGAATCAAGCATTTAAGACTTCAATGTTAGGATGAGAAAACCAGTGCAGCAATCCACCAATAGTTGTGCTGCTAAGCTTTTACGAAAAACATAGTCCCACAAAACGTAATGTTATTATTAGTATTGTTATCAGTATATAAGTAAGGGTGATTATTAGTTGATTCATTGTCAACTTTAAAATGATTGACCAGCTGTTTCTATAATTGCTTATTGTTTTGAGTAATCCTTTCAGTAAAAACATGTCATAATTAGATTCTCACATGTGAACAATTTCTTTGTATTTTCCTTCTAGTTTAAAAGGTCCCATGTCATGGCCATTTCTACTGATCATAATTCCATTGTTGAGGTTTACTAGAATAGATTTATATTGATCAATGTTCCAAACTCACATTGGTTTCTCATACAGCATCTCTGTGTATTCACTCTCTGTCCTAAACACTATATCACTATACTCAGGAAGTAAACAATGGAAAAAGAGAAATGTCCAACGAGGCGTTCTGGGGCAGCACAGACAGGTCTTCTCTGTGTTAGAGTTTTACTCGCTACAGGGTGTACTTTGAGGGTTTTTGACTCTGCAGACCGTTTACATGCAGAAAAAGCTACATAACACAAGGGGACGGGTGATAACCGGAAAAGCATGACATGGGACCTTTAACTGACAAAACAAGACATAACGACATATTTGTACTACTTGGTAAAGAGTGATTCACATGTTTTTTTAAAACAAAATAACTGAGCAATTAATTTACAAAAAATGTTAAGCGATAAATTGCTTTTGACTTTTGGCTTAAAATATAGCATGTGGATTTTTATACTTTACCATTAAGAAGGCTTTCGTAAATCCTCTTTATGGTAACAAGTGCATTGTTACCATCTTCTGTCTCAATTTGCCATGGACAGAGGCAATCGGCCGCAAAACCATTTGTGCCTCTCTTGGCAAGAAGGAGGATGGGATGCCGCTCAAGAAGTTTCCATTTGTGGAGCTGGAACACAATGGACACAAAAAAAACAAGAAATATTGTTTACATAACAGCTCTAAACATTTTCACACACCTAAAGCTTTTACAACTCCATTTATTTTTGCATAAGTGAAAAATGCACTGATGTGATACGTATGCACATTGAGGAAGGCACCCCACCATTAACCAGGTGTGATTTTAGACCCATTTTAGGGGAGCCCCAAAAAACACCATGAAAAAAAGCTCAGGTTCACTTTTTGAGTTTTGTTTACATGGGCATGGTTATTTTTATATGGGTCTATTTAACTCTCACATTCAGATATCTGAATAAGCTACATTTAGCTTTGAAATATGTCAGCAAGCTATAACCTATGTCATTTCAGGTTCAAAGTTCTGCATTAACTCAAAATATTGATGACTAAAGCACTTCAGATGAACACGGCTCAAAGTCAGAGACTCTGGTAAGCTAAATTAAAGTGCTTTTAAGGGCCTCTTTATTAATACAAACTCTTTCCAGGACTTGATTGTCTTTCAAGCACTATATTAATATTGGCTGGTTTTGGGCAGAGTTGAGCCAATGTTAATATATCTATATTCAGCCCAAACATTTTGTATATTTATTTATTTTAATTTATTATTTAGATCTTTACATTTGATTCTGTGACATTCTTGGTTTTACCATTTATTCAAAATGTGTATGATATTTCATTTATTTTACTTTTGGAAACCATAGTCACATAATTCTGTGTTTGCCAACTGACATCTGCAAGAAAAAAAAATGTACCAGTAGATTTGTTGAGTCATAAACTTTGTTGACACTGTGGTTTTTTTGTTGCGTGGCCTTCCACTCCTGTGCAACCTTTTCCTTTTGCTTGGATAGTTTCTCCTTGTAGGGTTGGTTGGCACCACATTGCCTGCATTTCCTGCTGGCTACTCCTATTTTGTGTTTGCAAGTCTGGCACACTTTTTGAGTAGGCATCTGTAACAGAAACACAGATAAGGGAATAAAACAAATAAGAATACTATACTACAAATGTTTACAGGATTCATGTATTTTATTATATCGTGAAAAATCTTGTTAAAACAATGAACTCGTGTTTTTTTATCTTTTAGATAGGATGAACAAAAATCACAAGAGTAAGGGAAAAAAATGGTTATACAGAGTCAGTCACATGTTTAAAGTGACTGTTATCGACAACCCTAATCTGTCAATATCTGGTTGATCCAAAAGTTGATGCTCCATCATCACAGAACTAATACTAAAATCATCATTACCAGGGGTGTATTGCTAATTCTATAAGTTCCGCATGCGTGCACGCGCAGTTGTGGCTCGTTTTGAAGCTTATGTAACTACTGTCAATTAACACTCCAGCCAGAATCAACAAAGAATGGTCGTTTATTAAGTCTGCATTATTGAATAAATGTGGATTCTTACAGTAAATGCTGGACACAGCTGCTTGATAGTTTATAAAGTTCCTTCACTGATCACTTAACTAACTCCCTCCTGCTGAGGTACAAAGGTTACTATATAAAAAGTGTGCACATTTATTTAGTATCCTATCCATGTGAATATGTTTTAAGTGGGGGTGGATCTCACGTCCTCTAGGGGGGTCCGGAGGCCCCCGGGAAATTAAATGCATCAATCTTGTGCACTTTGAGGGCAAAATTAACTAAATCTATGGATACATCTGTCAACACCCATATGAAACTTAACTGTATACATTTCAATAATTAAAAAAAGATAAGAATAATACTTTTTTTAATTTATCTTTGTGCATATGTAACTATTTACTCTTTAAAAAAAAAAAAGTATTATATATGTATTTGTTGTATGTCCAATAGCATGAATTGTAATGATTTCATCGATGTTTTACATTCATTCGATTTTCTTTAGGGTGCTGCGTGACGTTGAACCTGCGACATACAACCTGTGACCTATGAACCTGTATTTGTATGCTACCAATGGAGCTATTGAACCTAAGAACTTGAGGCCTGTTTCCGACTCTTATTGTGGAACATAATACAATAATATAAAAGTGTGCCTTGGAAATATGTGTTTCCATATATGGTGACCAAACTGTTTCAGACCCACTGAGATAACTTAGACTAAAGTTAACTGTGTAAACATTACATTACCTACATTAGCCTCTCAGCCTATCCGTTATCATAGCTAGCTAGCACCAGATGCTAACAACCATCCCCGTTTTAGGTGCCGGAGCGGTGTTCCGGCAGCATTATACCCCTGATGACTCTTCACTTAATACATAAATAGTATTTAATATAGTTATAAAGAATGTGACGTGTGATAACATTTGGATAAACCGCATGAACCGATGGATCACATAACTTCCATGCTCACATTAACGTTAGCTGATTCTACTTTTGGCTAATTTAGCTTTGCTATCATTATTCCTAGGTAAACATAGTAATCTTAGTCACTGTACTAGACGACAAAATAAATCCGACTACTCACCTTTATTAGCTTGTCTGTAGGAAATAAATGGATGTTGTCAGTGATGCAGTGACGAGTCCAAAAAACCCCGGTGAGTTAGCATTTTACCACTTCCGGTTTCCGGTTTCCGCTCTTCTTCTTCTTCTTCTTCTTCTTCTTCTTCTTCTTCTTCACTCGTCGCACTTTTATTGATGCGCAAGGTTAAAGTTCACGGGATTACGATCCGCCAGGAGTTGCTAATAGAAATGAATAGACGGGAGCATGTTGTTTCTTACACGACCACTAGAGGTGCTACACTTTAAAACGTGGCTATGGGTCGTATTTGGGTCGGAAAACAATCGACCTATTTGGTCGTATTAGTTGGAGGACTTGTTGATTTAATGAGGGGGGAAGGGAGCCATAGAGTGACGTGTGAGTGACTCGAGTTAGGTCTTCCTTATTGAACTTGCGCTAAAGCTTTCATTTCAAACCGGAGAGACGTGATGTAAGAATTACATATTTATTGTTTACACGTCATATGAATGAAATGATTGCCATGATAGTACAACAGGAGAATGTAATGGTGTTTGGCGATTAGGCCCCCGGTTTGCAGGATAATCATTCAGGAGGGAAAGCACCGCTCCGATGAAATCCCCAAAACCAGTGAAGTATGAATACTGAGATGAACTGAGTTGCTTACCTTGTGGGGTGACTGGTGATCTGGGGAGGAGATATAATAGATTAACACGTATATGAGCGACACTGTGCCGGAATCACTGCCGGAGCTTACTGGTCATGCTGAGACTCTGACTGCCGAAATCAGTGCCGGTCTTATCTGAAAACGACCTGCGGGTCGCATGCCTGGCCAGCAGGGCTTGACTACGCCGAGGAGCGAGCGGTTTCGTTTTGTAACGGTGGCCCAACGTCCACGACACCGAAGTGTACGGTAGCCTTCCGCTACGACACCGAAGTGTACGGTGGCCTTCCGCCA